TGCTCTGGAGCCAGGCTGAGAGAGCTGGGCTGGGTCAGCCTGGAGAAGAGAAGGCTCCTGAAGGGGAGACCTGAGAGCAGCTCCAGTGCCTAAAGGGGCTGCAGAAAACCTGGAGAGGGGCTTGGGACAAGGGCCTGTAGGGACAGGCCAAGGGGAATGGCTTTAACCTGCCAGAGGGGAGACTGAGATGAGCTCTTAGGCACAAGCTCTTCCCTGTGAGGGTGCTGAGGCGCTGGCACAGGGTGCCCAGAGAAGCTGTGGCTGCCCCATCCCTGGCAGCGTTCAAGGCCAGGTTGGACACAGGGGCTTGGAGCAAGCTGCTCTAGTGGAAGGTGTCCCTGCCTGTGGCAGGGGTTGGAACTGGATGTGCTTTAAGGTCCCTTCCAACACAAACCATTCTTTATTCTATGTAAGTGTTTGCAGTTGCCAGACAATTACAGCAGTGCCATTTGCCTAAACTCCAGCCTAATGGATGGACCCTGAAAGCAGCCCAGCAAAATCCACCAAAATCCTCCTGGAAGCCAAAGAGCTGAAACCTAACCACTGCTACCTGTACAATGTACCTGGAAAGGTCAGTTCTGGGATCAAAAGCAATAACAGGCTGCTTGGAGACAGGATTTCCTGAGCTATGCAACTGCTGAAGGTTTGCCCTTTTTTCTTCAATGCTTTCAGGTGAGCTATTGAAATGTATTCTCTCTTCCTACAGCCTTGCCTCCCACCATGTTAAATGATTTGTGGCTTTGAAGGGTTGATCCTCCTCCATCTCTATCACAAGCAGCTTCTCTAAACATGTGGGGGTCTTGCCCCATGCATGACTGTGTATGGGTCTCAGCTCTGCTTGGGTTAGGACTCCGCTGTGGGTCCGTACATTAACAGAATACAAAGACTACATGAATGCCATGAATCAGCTTTTCACTTAAAGGAGTGAAAATAAAAGCGGGACCAAGCTCTGAAAGCCTTGCTTGAACCCTTTGCAAGTCGCATTCTTAAATTAGATTTAGACATTTAGGTCATAATAAAGCTGATGCTGCCACCGAGTTTGTTTGGATGTAACTCACTGCAGCGCTTCTGCCAGTAGAAACAAATTAGAAAATGCTGGCTAGCTCATCAAATCCTAATGATTTATTCATTTGGAACTAAAGCAGTTGCAGAAAGTTCCTAAGTAAAGCAGTGCATCTCCATCCTTGGCAGAGACGTATGAAAAGGGCAATGACTTTAATTTTTACTGCAGGAAATGGACCACATCTGGGATCAAGAAGGTCTCTTTTATGGTGGCCATCACTTCTGGTGGGAGGGGAGGAAGAGAAGATTAGATTAATCTCCCAGAGGAGGCCACAATATAGTTAGAAATCTATAAAATATTGCTCAGAATAGTTTCTCTTTGTTGAAGTGAACATTATCTGTTTGTGCTTCCAGGAGGGCTTCTGCATTTGAAGATGGGTTTCTACTTTGCAGGTGGCATTTCTGATGTGACTAATGCTCTTGTAACCATAAGACTGGGTGCAATGAAATTGCCTTTCTATGCTGGATGCAAGCGGATGGAGGGAAGTAGAAGCTATCAATGGCATCCCATAAAAGCCACCCAATATCTGTGCTTTGTTGCCACGTTGCAATTTCTTCGCAAGTTCTATGATTTCTAGTTGGGAGGAAGAATGGGTTTTAAAGCCTCGCTCCCTGGAAGCAACAAGATCACCATGTACCATCCTAAAATACCTCGAATCACAGGAAGCCAGAGTTAAACCAGCAGAGCCCCTAGATTATAATTTACAAACAACATCTTAAGCCATCCCACCATTTTTGGAGTCTGATTAATGATCCTGAAGGCAGTGTGTACAACCAGCAGGCAAACAGCATCTAACATTTTCCTATGTCTGCTTGGCTGAGACTACTTTAAACAGTTTCTTCAGAAGGGTTTGATGTCCAACTGGGCATACGCTGCACTGCTTGAGGCAAGGAGACCAGGGGCCTGTTGACCATCATTGGACACATCAGGGATGAATTACCAGGCACACTGAGGCTGTTCTAGCTGCAGAGGTGTCCTGAGGTCTCTCCTACTCACCATCAAGAGTAGTAAGATCTCTGCTCCCCATTCAAAGGGACTGTTCTCAGCTCAATCTGCTTGAGCTGTTAGGGCTCTTTCTAATTAAAAGCAAGCCCATTTTTAGTATTCTTGCTCCTGACTGAGTGATTTTGGGAGGATGTATAAGACCATACAAATCACAACAGTACTCAAGGCCAGGTTGGAGGGGGTTTGGAGCAAGCTGCTCTAGTGGAAGGTGTCCCTGCCCATGCCAGGGGTTGGAACTGGATGAGGTCCCTTCCAATCCAAACCATTCTATGATTCAAACCCACGTAGCACTGCAGCAACAGAAGCTCGCACAAGCCCCTGCACAGGAAATGAGATCTCAATGGCATTTCTGTCATTTCTGAAGCAGCCCAGCCCCGTTCCTCTTCCTTTTCAGAACGTGAACAATGCGTAGAACAGCGTATATATTGCTACCTGCGAGCTGGGGTTTTGTTCATTGTTACTGCAGTGAGAAATACAGACTTTTCACACAGTTTTCTTTGTAAAGCCAACAGTTGGCTCCAATCAAACGCTCTGTGAGTACAGGATGCACATTACAGGGAAGAATTTACTCGACTGGCAAAGTCAGGTCCACAAAAACAATGAAATGACAGGGTTAAAACTTCCTAAGCAATCTTAAATCAGGCATAAACATTATAATAAAGCCTTATAATAAGTAATTGAAGAACCATTTTGTCATTACACCCCTGTGGCAGAGCTGAAAAGAGCTCAAAAAGGAGGTGTTCGCACATTCTGTCTCCTGGTTGCCTACTGCCTCTTGCAATATGCTGTTAAGCACTTTTTTGAGATCATGATACTTACTGTCACCATCAGGTTTATGATACTTCTCATCTCAGTCTTGCCCAGTGAACATCGCAGATGTCTATCAATAACGTACTTTCACACCAATCTGAGGTGTGAAGATTCAGCTCCTCAGGGTAACAAGGACAGAAATGAATCAGAAGTGTCCACCTCCTCTGCTTAGATGCTGCCTCGGACCTGGGGCTCTGTCAGAGGATTTAGAGGTATGGAGAGTTTTGTTTGTTTGACAACTGCAGCTAATCCTAGGTAGAACAAGTTAATGACAGCTCTGGAGCTCTGAATCAGAGGTCTCCATGAAGGTGACCATTAATAACTGGTGAATCTGTGGGGAATTGGTTAACTCAAACTATGTAAGGCACCAATCGTTACAGGTAATCCTAAACAAGATTAAGCAAGGTCCATGCCCAGACAAGATCCATCCATTGCAGGGAAACAGGCAGGTGTCACATAGGACAAAGGAAAAGTAGTATCATGGAATTGCACTTTATTGGGCTGATTGATGTGAGGCTGATCTAAGGCTGAACAAGTGCCCTTTTGGAGTATTCTTAACCCATTTCCATATTTTAATGTGCCTTTGTGCGTACCTTCCCTTACGTCCAGTTGTGATAACCACACGAGGAGAGGCGATGCTATCCAGAGGGACCAGGCCATCATCAGCACATGTACTGTTACTGTCTGAGATGTGAGGGTCTGAGGTTCTGGGTGGAAAAGAGTAAATAATGGCAGAAACTCATCAAAATCACAGCTTTTGTATAGAATTCCGTGCTAAGGCGACAGAACAGATCTGCGTTTAGACCTGGAGTGCTATTTAGCAGTATGGTTTGGAGGAGCTGGCTCAGAACAAAAGAGAAAAAGAGGATCTGGGGCTTTTCCAGTGACACTTTTGCTGTTGCAAGATTTTCAAAGGTCACAGTGAAAAACCCAGTTGCTGGATGCTCGTCTGGGTTTCCACAGCTCACTGGATGGGCAAGCCCACATAACGCAATTAAGCTGTGCTTTGGGATCCACGTCTGCTCAGGAGGCTGAATTTCAGAGCGTTTCAGTGCGGTCCTTGTTTTCCTTCGGCTGAGATTTTCCAGCGTGGCCGCATCTTCCAGGTGTGGCACTTGATTTGTGTGAGACCTGAGGTGGGAGTCAATAAAAACCAGCCAAGCCACAGCGCACCTCAAAGAGAAAAGGCGCTTGGAAGCATTAATGCTTACTTACCCAGGAAAGGAGCAATTCAAACAACATGTTTTCCTCCAGCGTTAAGATGAACTTGTTGTTTAACTCCTTTGTTACCAAAGGCTGCTGAGTTCCCAGGCAGTAGCACGGCTGAGACAAATCACTGTTTCCTCTTCAGAAAATGGAAGTGGTGCACTATTGTTCTTTTTTCTTCTTTTGGTGGGAAAAATAACTTCTGAGTTCCTTCACCACTTTCTGAGCCGAGCTGCAAGGGGGCCCAGCCAACGGTGACCTTTCAGAACACAGGGGAGGAGGAGATACGATGGAACTACAGCTTGTTCCTTATTTGTAATAAGCCCTTTGCAAAATACTACCTGTGTTTCCAGGACCCACGGATGCAGAGCCACGTGGACAACAAAATGATCAGTCTTTCATTTCCTTGAGCAGCTGTGGCAGTGGCAGTGTTCAGCCGACCCATAAATACATATATAGATAAGCATTCTTTGTAATCAGAGCATTAAAATCACCTTAAAATGCACCAGCAAAAGGCACCATATGGAAAACTCTGATTGAAAACATATGGGAAGTTGCATCAGAAACAGTCGGTTTTGCTTTGTGCGGATGTTGATTTGCTCCTCTCACAGCTACTTGGGGAAATAGCAGAGAAAATACATTTCCTTTTTTGCTGAGTGCCATCTAAGCACCATGGGTTGATAACTTCAGTGTCACTGTGATCTCTAGCACTTTCTGCCAGCTGAGAGACTTCTTTATCTCACATCGCGTGTTTCCTATTAATAACTCCTAGACAAAAGTTTAGTTATGTACTATAGCTTTTCTTTTAAGTCATTGACACCACCTGCGCTTAACTCCAAACCCAGTCCTGAATCAACTGCCACAGATCTCTGCCAGATTGTTTCCTACTAGTAACAAGCTGCTGCTCCTTGTCCTGCCTATAATTGTGTTTCTTTGTTAATGACAGAGAGAGAAAGAGAAGCGACTGCTCTAAGAGTGGAAACAATCTTAAACCATCTTTAGTCCTGGCTTGCATCTGACACAGTCCCATTCATCTAACAGAGGCTATACGGGTACGGAAATCAGACAGGGCCTTGCAATCTCATATCAATAAAAAGAGCAAAGTAAAGCAACTAAGGACTTAGGAAAGAGTGTTAATGATTACAGAAGGCAAAATTGCTGGCATTATGTGTAGTACAGCTTTCCTTTCATTTACAGCCCAGACAATTCATCCCTGGTAGTGCTCAAGGCCAGGTTGGATGCTGCTTGGAGCAACCTAGTCTAGTGAAAGGTCTCCCTGCCTGTGGCAGGGGATTGGAACTGGGTGAGCTTTAAGGATCTAGGGTTCTATGAATAGCAAAATCTTAAATGTACCTTGCATTTCATGAAGAAAATACAGGTCAAATTTAACAAGGGTGGTTTATGCAATTTAATTTTTGATTCTATTGTTTTCTACCTACAAATAAGAAAAAAAGAACAAGAAAAAATATTTCTCTGACAACAGTGGGATACTCAGTATCACAGTGCATGTGCCTGTGCCAAGTGCTGCTCATAGAACCCCAGACTGGTTTGTGTTGGAAGGGACATCAAAGTCCATCCAGTCCCAGCCCCCTGCCATGGGCAGGGACACCTTCCACTAGAGCAGCTTGCTCCAAGCCCCTGTGTCCAACCTGGCCTTGAACACTGCCAGGGATGGGGCAGCCACAGCTTCTCTGGGCACCCTGTGCCAGTGCCTCACAGTGCTCCTTCCAGCACAACAGGAAAAGACATCTGTGCCACTCAGTTTATTTGCTATTTCATTTCAGGCATTCAGATTCTGGTTTGTAGCAAAACAGGGACCTTGGATGCTGGGCTGGAAAGCTGGAAAACCAAGCAGCAGCAGAAACAACCTGTGCAGCAGCGCTGAGCCTGTGAACCTGTGCCATGGGGGATGTGGCAGGGCAGCCCAAAGGGTGTTTGTCGGGGATGTGATGCAGGAACGTGCCTGAAATGACCCTTTCTAGCCAGGCTGTGGATGCATTTCTCGTTCCATTTCAATCACTTTACTTGGACAGGGTCAAAGACAGAGTTTGTCCTAACATTAACTTCAAGCAGTACTTTAATAAAGGCATTACCTTTTACTTGTGATTTATTTCTATTTTCTAATTCACATGCTTAAAAATAGTTTCGTGTCTTCTCTTCTTCCTCCAGTGTCACTGAACTGAGGTGAGCAGCAGCACTACCTAGTCATCATTCCAGTGACAGTTTGGTAACCTGGTACCTCGTTACCCTGGAAAGACTCACACCACGAAGGCAATGTGATCCTCAGTCAGGTATGAGAAGCACTTTGCTGTGATCTCCATCTTCTCCATACCCTTACATCCAGAAGGACCTCTTGCTCTCAATTTGAGTTTCTAAATGTACTTGTTACTGTTTTATCCTCCTTCCAGAATTGATAAACCTTGAGCTTCCAGCAATACAAATAACTTCTGCCCTTAAAATTGAAGGTTCTAGAAAGACAGCAACAGATGGAATGAATCAAGCTTTAAACACTTTCCAAACCATTTGTCAGATCACTTCTTTTCCTGCAGCGGGAGGCTGGCAGCAGTGACCTGTGCTGGGAAATGCTCACTGCACCAGCGTGGCCTTGGTATTTGTAGGCTAATTTTTGTTTTGAGTATAACTCTTGACTCACGGAAAAATAACCCAAGTGTTTTGGGCTGGTCCCGGACTTGATCTTCCTTGAATTAATGACTGTCTGTGTCAAAATAAGCGTGGAGAAGCTTTTGTGATAACGTTTTTACCCTCTTGCCTCCTTGTTGAGAGATAGGAGCCACTGGAAGGCAGTTCCCAGCAGCTGTTTGCTATGTGGGTGGTTGGGCTTTTCCAGTGAGCGCAATTCCAGCCATCAGCTCCGCTGTCTCCAGACACACGGTGACATTTCGTGTTAGAAATTAATGCTAAGACGTGAAATTCAACCAGCCGGCTTTAACCAGGGTGCTGTAACAGTTGCTTTAGGCAAACATCCCTCAGAGTGGGTACATTGGGAGGCACACACACCAAACAAGACCTAAACAGCTAAATTTAGGCCGGATAGGAAATTAGCTTGAGGTTAAGTAAAGTTTTTCTGCTACTTTGTTTTGTTTTTAGATTACCCAAGAGATGTTCCTTCCTGGAAAGGGAAATAGGACAGAGATACAGAGCTGTTTTTCAATCCCTTCGTTTACATGGACTCATTTCAAGTACGTTTTATTGTGTGTTTGTGATTTAAACCTTACCAGCTCCTATTTTCAGATGGAAAGATTTGAAGTCCCAGTTCCAGTTCTGTGTGCAGCACAGCTCCTGCTGGGCAGGGGGGCACTTTCCATCTAAACTCTTACCTGCTCTGGACACAGGTGGACAGTGTAAAAGTGTATTTTCAAAGATCCCTTTGCACCTTGTAGTTAGAACCAGTATTCATGGCAAAGTTGCATTCCAGAACAGAGGAAAAGTCACAAGCTCTGCTGTGTAATGTCTAAACCAGAGGAGACAGAGCTCCTCGATCCAGCAGCTCCAGCCAAATCTCTGTGAAATCTAACCCACAGACTTTCTGGGTTCATATTTTATCATCTACATTCTTACTTGGACATCATTTTGCTTAAAGAGATGCTTCTAAACCTAAATCTTGGAGCTAAGCATGGGTCCATCCAGCCAGATCTGTAATTTCTGATCTTTCCCATTAAAGACACGAGCTTTCTTTGTGCTCATGTGATTTTTCCCTACTTGTTTTATGTTGCAATAATCATGGTAGAAGTAACTATAGGAAAGCGCACAGTTACAGGTTTATTTACTGACCCAGGATATAAATCTAGTTGCTTAAGCAAGCAAAAACTGCTGAAACAATTGTTAAAGCAAACATGAAGGATGAGGTTCACTGGAAAGGATTCCAAAAATGCTCTGAAAGTTGGGGCTTGGTGGTTTTTCTTTGTTTAAAGGCTACAGACCATCATACCATCACTCCCTGTAACTGCCATGGAGGTGATGGGAGAGGAAGAGGAGCCTCAGCACTTGCATAAAGAGGTTCTTGTGTTGGTAAACCTGTTACCTGTGCTGCTGGGGTGGCCTCACAGGCTCCTGCAGCCCAGGGGTGGCAAAAATAGCATTTACAGAGGGAAACCAGCCCTAGATGGGGCTCCCTTGTCCCCTTCACTGAAAGCACAGCTGGGTAGGGATCTGTAGGGAAAAACTGGTGAGAAACTGCTTTGTTGGCACTGAGTGTTCAGGGACTTCCAGAGCTGCAGCAAGTCAGGTTAAACAGCTCGGCAGTGAAATCTCCCTTTGAAGGCTGCTATTTACTTACACCAAAGTTATTCTTCTGCAAGAAGCGATAGGAATGTATAGCTTCAGAGCAAGGAAATGCCACTGTCTTAATAATACGTAGTAACACAGGATGTTAGGGTGGCATCGATCTAGACAGTGAGATGGGAGAATCATTTGCAGAACAGAAATAGAAAACGTTGGAGGTTATTCCTTGAAACACAAATATGATCAAAGGGCTGGAGCAGCTCTGCTCTGGAGCCAGGCTGAGAGAGCTGGGCTGGGTCAGCCTGGAGAAGAGAAGGTTCCTGAAGGGGAGACCTGAGAGCAGCTCCAGTGCCTAAAGGGGCTGCAGGAAACCTGGAGAGGGGCTTGGGACAAGGGCCTGTAGGGACAGGCCAAGAATGGCTTTAACCTGCCAGAGGGGAGACTGAGATGAGCTCTTAGGCAGAAGCTCTTCCCTGTGAGGGTGCTGAGGCGCTGGCACAGGGTGCCCAGAGAAGCTGTGGCTGCCCCATCCCTGGCAGTGTTCAAGGGCAGGTTGGACACAGGGGCTTGGAGCAAGCTGCTCTAGTGGAAGGTGTCCCTGCCCATGGCAGGAGTTGGAACTGGATGAGCTTTAAGGTCCCTTCAACACAAACCAGTCTGGGGTTCTGTGATTACTGCTTTTTGCACCGCATCCTTACAAAGTGCCTTGAAGTGCTGGTGAGATTTGGGCCAGAAGAAGCTTCTAAACAACCTCTGAACTGCAAAGCTTTTACTTCCCTGTTGCATGTATAAAATAGCTCTGGTGGTACACCTTATGGTACAAGGTATCCTGCAAATGATGCTAAAAAGTAGAGGACAGACAGCAAGCAATTTTTAGCTTAGTGGATAGACTACTGCTGTCCTTACATGCACTTCATAAATAATTTTGAAGGTTCTGAAGAATGCATTATTCAAAGCATCCGGCTCTTTCTTCTGAGACTGAGTGTGTCCACTGGCAGCTTATGAAACACTCACTGTATTTAATTATTAACTCTTTTTTACAGCATTTGTGAGGTTTTTTTCACTCCGTACAACATGTGCAAGTTCTCATCCCAAAATGACAAGAACAAAGATGGAGCCAAGGGTCATCTTGGCCATGAGACCTCTCCATTGCTGTTCTTACCAGCCTTCCTCAGGGTCACAACATACAGGTTTTACCAGTGTTTTATCTCATGGCCTCTGGTGAGGTGAGCTCAGGGTGCTTTTAAATAGATAAATGGAAACAAAACCAAGCAAGAACAAAGTTATTACTGAAATTCAGCACTGAATCAGAATTACTTTATGAACTTCTTTTCCATGTTCTGGCTTAGCAAAAAGGTCTGTCCTACAGCTCCTGACACTCCATCAGCTTGGACCTTCCGTGCCACTGGAAAATGCCATCACAAAATGGCACCATTTTCAGCCCTTTTCTTCGTGAGGTGCAACCACATTCCTTTCAGCCCAAGAACGGCGATGGGATGAGAGAGCGCAAAGACTTTTTCCTTGTGATCTGGGAGGTTTGGTGTGTGTTTGAACAGGTATGTAAAGCCGAGAAACAGAAACAATACGGTCCAAGTTTCAAGATTTAGCGTGGTTTTCAGGAGGTGCCAATATGCTACATGTGTAATGTGCATATTTCTGGAAAATTATGAATCACTTACTTTTTTTTCCTGTAAAAATGACAGCTGTTTTCTAGGATGTCAAATCTGTAATTCCTTCCAAAGAGCAAAACAAATTAAGTAAGAGTAACTAAAGTGGTAGGGACAATATTTTGAAGAATGGGAAGTAGAGCAGATTGCATCCCATTTTGCTGCATGTCCATGGTGGGGAAGGGAAGAGGGCTCCATACAAGTATCGTGCGGATAACATGGCCCATGCATGGTAGCAGAAATGATTTCTCTTACGAGACACCAGTTCATCCTGGACCAAATACGTGGGCTTCTTTCATATGCAATGCAATTAATACATCTTCCTGCTGACTTCCTTCCCGTGGGTGTTGGATTACGGCTGCAGTAGACTGTGTACCGCAAACCAGGTGAGACGCCAGCTCCAAATCAGGAAGGACTGTCTGTCCCCCTGAGCATGAAGGAGCCAAACACCAGCAATCCCAAAGAGGACGTGTTGTACAGACAGGAACAAACTTGTATCTGCTTGGAAATGCCTTCGTGGCCTTTGCAGCGCTACGAATACATGTGGTGTGTAAGTTTCTGTGTGCTATTTTGAAGAGGGACTTTTAAAAGGTCATTTAATGATCAGACAAGGGCCAATGGCTGTAAACTTCAAGAGGGTAGATTGAGATGAGCTCTTAGGCAGAAGCTCTTCCCTGTGAGGGTGCTGAGGCGCTGGCACAGGGTGCCCAGAGAAGCTGTGGCTGCCCCATCCCTGGCAGTGTTCAAGGCCAGGTTGGACACAGGGGCTTGGAGCAAGCTGCTCTAGTGGAAGGTGTCCCTGCCCGTGGCAGGGGCTGGAACTGGAGGAGCTTTAAGGTCCCTTCCAACACAAACCACCACTCCAGGATTGTATGATTCTATGGTATTTGCCCTTTACTGAAATTATCTGGTACCAGTGTTTTATTTCTTTAACCATCTTTTAGGAGCCAAAAAAAGCCCACAAAGGAATAATTCCCATTCATGAGGTCTTCTTTCAGGTAGAATCAGTTAAACATGAAGCTTCATCACGCAGCTTTTATGCTGAAGTAAGAATTCCCATAGCAAAAAAAAACCAGCATTTCCGCCTGTTTGTGAAATTACTTTCATTTAAAGTAGTAATTTGATGTTGAGAAGAAAGGCAAACAATTACAGCAGTCGCTCTCTGTGGTGCAAGTACATTCATGCTTTTTCTGCCTTCTGACTGCAAAGGCAATATTTACATAAGCATACAAATCATATCATGTATTGAACTAGTTCTAGAACTGCAAATATTAAAACTGCAATGATATTTTGTTGATGCTTTAAACGCTTGATGGTCAGGAAATGCCGAAGCATTGATGAAACAGCTGGATGCCAGGTGTTTTCCAGGGCCCAGCTTTGGGAAGTTGTTTTCTGAACATCTGCAGGCATTAAGTGTCTTCTTAACAAAGCCCCATACCACCCAACAGGGCATGACAGAAGAGATCTGTTCTGGTACTCAATGTATTTTCTAAGTCTTTTCTTCCTGAAGAGCAGGTAACACTATGGAAATGTAAAGATCAGCAGGAAAAGCCCTTCTGCCTTCGGTAGTAAGTGGCATGTTGAGATGCCGATGGAGAAGATTATCCTAGCACACATGTTGCTGCCATTTAATTATTCCCTTTCCTGTAAAGAGCCTGGCTTTAATTAGATGGCAAAACCAAGTGAGAACTTTTCTCCAAGCCGTTTTCAAGTGCTCGCTTCCTCCTCTGTGTTCTGTGGTTTATTAGATTTGAATGAGTAATGGGGTGGTTTCATTTGTTTAGTAAAATTAAAGTGGTCAGTAACAATTTCCTGTCTGAGCAAACGTGGGCTGATTAATAATATTGGTGATGGTGGTGAATAGGTTTCCTTTGCAGCACATGGGTTGAGCTGCCAGCCTGCTGCTGCTCGGGGGTTTCCAGATGTCTTGGTACTTAGGCTCAGTGTCAATGCTCACCAAGAGCAGCTCTGTGCTTACAGGGCTGGGCTGGCACAGGAGTAGTTCAAAAGGTGGTTGAACACCAAAGCAGCATGGAGGAGATACGTTTTGAACCAAAACTGATCTTCCTTCTTACCCAAACATCTGATAATTTGCATTTGAAGAGCCAAGTCTAGGTGTGGTACGAGCCCTGGAAACACCAGTGAGGTGTCCAGATTTGGAATGTGCATCTCTCATTCGGAGAAACACAGAGAAAGTGTTTGCCTGGTCCTCACCAATGTGTTTTCCAGCATTGCTGGCAGGGATGGAAATCCCTATCAGAGACTCTTTTTACTTTTCACAGAAACACAATCTACTTTACCCTGCACACAACAATCTTGCAGAATGCCATGATCCTGGGTCAAAACTCTACAGCATCCCATTAATTTGAACTAGCAGCAAAAATAGTAGGGAAATCAAATGCATTTTGCAAACCTTGGCATGGGACTCAGTATTTTCACTCCCACTGAAAACACCATGGTGAACTTTATCTCTGTTTATACTTGAAAAAAGCCACGTGTAACCAGGGGATACAATCTCCCTACCTAAATTGCAGTTACCAGTTCACACAATATTTGGGAGTCAATTTTCTCATATGCATTACAGATTTTTGCCTGAATTTTATTCGTTGCCTCTTCAGAGAGTCAGCTACACAGATGGGTACTGATCAGCTCACCCAAAATCCAGTGAGACAGCCCTCTTGCAAAAGGCATTTGGAAAAGGATGAACTCTACCACAGTTATTCTTGCTGTATCTAAACACTGATGGAATTTGTGGCAAGTAAATGCTTATTGCATGTAAAATTGCTTGGGCTGTGATAGGACATAAAAACTGTCATAGTCCATGAGTTTTAAAATGCGATGGCAGACATGGAGTACCAGAGAAACATCAGCCTTGGTGCAACACTTATTGAGTCCATGACAAAAATGCTGTCTCCAATTATTGCTGTTCAGTTGATGACAAATACAATGCTTTTGCTATTAGTAGGCAAACACCAGGGCCTGTCAGCATGTAAGACTTCAAAACCCTATATCAACATCCAGAAGTTTGTTTTACAGAGCTGATTCAACAGACCGCTGACATGTTTCTTTGCTAAACTTAGTTCTTCAGTCATTGTCCATTGATCCTCACGTCTGCAGATGACCATTAAATGAACTTGGTTCTTTCTAGAAGCTGCAGAGTGTTCCAATGGTCACGGTTAGCTAGACTGATAGGTTGGTAAGCACAGATTCTGTAAATAAAACACTTCGTACATCAACACCAGTGCTTTCTACAAGAGATGCCAGCGCATAGACATCTTCCTCAAGAATCATTCCACCCAAGGTGCAATTTGGAGTATTTGAGTTCCCTTAATTTTTACTGCCATTGATGTCAAAATGAGATGCTTTGCACTTCAGAGAAGATATTGGTGGCACATGGACTCCAGCCCTCATGGAAAATGCTGATTGATTGTCTCAGGAAGGTAACTCACTGAAAAAAGGGTTTCAGCCTAGCCTAAAGTAAAATGACTTCTGTGAAAGGGAAAGCACACGATAAGCAGATATATCCTCAAAAAAGACTTTAAAAAGAGGCATACTTCTTTCCTTAATCGTACTTCCTAACGCAGATAACAGCAAGCCTTTGCACAGAGAGGAAGTCAGAGAAATGACGCCGTTCCACATGAACAAGCAGGTTGTGTGGGTGTAACCGAATCAGAAATTACACTAATAAATGATGTCTCTCCTCTGACAACCCAAAGCACTCTGCAAATGTTATTTCAGCTGGGCAACAGAGATGGGCAAATATGTTATAGGTTTAGAGCTGAAGGGTCAGAGAAATGTAACGATGTAAGTGTCTTGCTTGAGGTGAGACACGAGGCTAACGAAGAGTGGGGCTGGTACGCCTGTGTTATGACTTGTAGACCTGTGGTCTAACCACCAGGCAAGCAAAGGCTTATAAAAATTAACAGTATTACAAAAAATTATGCTCCCCAGCAAAATACCAAGTTCCTGTGAAGACCTGTGAATTGCTTGCGTAGCTTTTGCAAAGGGCTCTCTCAGAGACACTGTCTGTGGTTCCTCTGTGTGTGTGTCTGCGTCAGGACTTTTGAACAGTTACACAGAAGTCAAACGTGTTTCTTTTCACCTTGTCTGCAAAACTCAGATGTCAGGTACAGATTAGACCCTGTCTGCTTCATGGCAGGAAAACAAAGCGCCTAGAGCTGTCCCATCCTCATTTAAGAAAACCCAAACCCGTCTTTTTGCTTAAAGTTCAAAGCAGTGAGATTACAGCTGTTTTGCCAAAGCAAATGCGTAGCCAGAAGTCATCTGAGAATTTTAAATTACTAATAAATTAGATAAATTCCTCTAATACAGATCCTGGTTTGGGTGCAGCCAGCGAAGAGTGGCTCCCGTCCATCCATTCCAAGCCATGCAACGCATGCTCACCTTCTTCCATCTCCTTGAGTCTGTCCTAATATTTCCTCTTTTGAATGAGAACTGATTTTAGCACCTGGTGGGCTCAGTAAGGTGGGAGTGATCAGTTTGTCACAGAGTGAAAATAAGCAACTGCAGCTTATCCTTGTGTCACACTCATTTGAAAGGTCAATTCGATCACCGGTCCATTTCCATTACCTGTAGGTTCTTGCTGAAAATTGGCAATTTCCTCTGTATTAAGTCCTGGGCTTGGATGACAAAACCTGGCTCTAGAAGAGAAAGTTTGGGGGTGTTTTTCATGACTCAGCTCTAGCACAGTGCCGCAAGTTTGCTAATTTCTTTTTGACTGAGGATCTTGCAAGTGGGCTCTAACTTGACAAAACCCATGAATGAGCCTAATGTAGATCATTTGTGCAACTGTTCTTGTAAATCCTTATGAGTTTGCATGCTAATCTTTACCCTTTCTGACCCTCCAGCCTATGCCCCTTCTTCCTACCCCCCTCCTACACTTTGAACTTCAGTGCACAACTCTTGGCAGTCTCTGGTCCTTGCAGGTCTGACTTCTGCAGCCACCCATGCAACCCTTCTGCCTCCAGAAGGGACAAAACACAGCCTGTTTCAGAGCAAGGGATCTTG